TAAGCGCTTCAACCTGTTATCTGGCAGTAGTTCATCATTTCAAATTTTGAACCAAGTCTTCTTTCTTTCCCCCTCCTACTATGCACATCAGAACCCTGGTAAAAGCAAAGTCCTGAACCCTATGTTTCAATGTATTGGCATCTTCCAACAAAGCCTTGAAGAATTTGTTTTGTGGAAAAAGGAAATACAACTATTTCTACAAGACAATACCCTAAGGATCAATTACAAAATATAGTTCTAAGAAGCTAATACCATTGTTCTATTGTCTAAATTAGCAGGTAGCTCTTCAAGTGGATCAAAGCTCGACAATGCCCTTGTGATGCCTTGATCTTTCCATATTCCATAAATTAGCTTCTTAGTATCAAATGATTTTTCTTTTGATCAGAATTTTCACTTTCTACATTCTTAAAGGTGTGTGAGAAAGAGTAATTTCTACTAGAAGAAACAATGCTATGGTGCATCCCACCATTCAAGACATAATCTAAGTTAGAATCTATTCAGTGGGACATACCGATGTGACTTTGGGTAGTTAAAAAGATGAGGCCATACTTTGCAACACCTGGTCTCTAATCACAATGGACTCTAGTCCTGTACAAATCAAATACAGTGTGGCTGCAGAATGATAAGAGTACTGATACCACTCCAATGGGCATGCAAACCCAGAAACTTGTTGATCTTGGTGTTGTCTACATTTTCTAACCTAAAGCCACAATAAAGTATTACTGCCATAGCATTATTGTCTGCCTCAGACAAAAAAACCAGTGCCTTTAGGCCTTTGACTGCTAGGGAACATACAACTTTGGAGTGTGTCATCTGATTTGTGTTTTGTTGTGGATTTCTGAACGTGTGGCATGACTTCCAGGAGAAAATACTGCATTTGAAATTATTGGCCAGTTGTGCTTGTAGTTTTCTATCTTGGACAGTTCATTCAGACATGAAAGATGTTTAATTGATACTGAAATCACCAGGGCATGTATGTGTAGATTACTTCTTTAGTATGGCACCACTTTTCAATGTGCTTCCAGGCAATTCCGAGTGCTCATAAGATTTTAAAGTGACAACTAGCAGTGTTCAGATTCTTTCTTAGTAGGTTGGGATTTTGCCAATAAATGCATAGATGTATTGTTACCAAATGTATGCTTCTCCTGGGGGGAAAAGGTAATAGAATTATTTGGTTTGTGATCTTTACTGTGTAATGGTCAAAATAGGACCATGGAAATGGAATCTTGATACAAAAGTACTTTAGGCAACTAAGAAGGAATATATTAATGAATGAAGAAAGAGGAAAATACAGCTTGCATATAATTGTGCCTGTTTTGATTTATCTGCTGGCTATTTTTAGAGGCAGATGTCTATAGTTCTAGAGATCCTCATGGGATTGCTTTAATAAGTGGGATTCCATGTAGTGTTAGATTTCCACAGTAAAATCTGTGCTTTCTAGAATTACCCTTTTCCTACATTGCTGTTTTCCTATATGATCACATTTCTTCTCTTTTTTAAAAGAAAAAATGCCCATCAGAGTGATTGACCTATTCACTGTCAAACCTCTGGATAAGAAAACCATACTTGAAAATGCAAGAGCAACCAAAGGCAGAATTATCACTGTGGAAGACCATTATTATGAAGGTGAGTCAACTTAAGCAAAAACATATTCAGCATACAAATATGCTGCCAATCCTTTTTCCAGTTCCTGTTCATTTATATGGCTATCTTTGCAAGTTCTGTGTTGTGTCTCTCATTATGGTCAATGGAATCACCTGTGAGGAAACTACTTCCCCCTGCTGTTGAAATAAATAACTCATAAGACTTGTGGCATAATATGCAATTTGGTAAATGTGCATCAGATGAGTCACTAAATCCTCGATCCTTGGGGTGTTCAACTGTGTGGCAACCAGTGGCCTGTCCCCCTCCCACATATTCCCTGTTGCTACACCTTTGAGTGCACCAAAATACCTTCTTTTTCTTCCATTTCCCCACCAGTCTAACAACTCCAACTGACATGGCTTCGCATTATATGATTTTGGGAGGAAAAGAGGGTCTTTGAGAGGGTGTTAGAGTTAGGAAGTTAAAAGGCATTTGGATGCTTGACAATTTTTTGTCATGTTTTGCCCAAAAATCTTTAATGAGGTGGGTTTTAGGGAATTTTGAGGACTGATGGGCAGTTACAGTAGAGAGGGCCACAGGCCATCCGTTTTCTACCCAGTTGAGTCTGAAAGGTGTCTCTTGATTCTCTGTCCTTTTGTTATCCTACATCACTTCTTGGAGATAATTTCTTGAATCTGGGCCTCAACAGCATAAATCTTGCGTTTGGAAAACGTTTTAGGGGAAACAACAACAACAACAACAACAACAACATACTCAGCTTTATCTCCCCCAAAGGGCACTCAAAGTGGCTTAACATAAAAACGTAATCATAATAATTTAATATACACAAATATACAAACATAAAAACAGGATTAAATATGAACAGTATTTTTTAAAAATCCAGTTAAAAACTGGGACAAGCAGTTCAGTCACCTTTCTAATCTCCCTGATTTGTCCATTGTTTTCTTTTTTGCTAGCTGCATTAAGCAGCATATGAAGAAATAAAGCCTGCCAGACTTGGACTTAACTGTTGTGTATCATCTTTCCATAGGTGGCATTGGAGAAGCTGTCTGTGCTGCTGTTGTGGGAGAACCAGGGATCACTGTTACCCGCTTGGCTGTGTCCCACGTCCCAAGAAGTGGGAAACCGGCTGAGCTGCTTAGGATGTTTGGCATTGATAAGGAAGGCATCATCCAGGCAGTGAAGATGGCAGTGTCCAAATCCAGAAATGCAGAATAGCTTGGATCATATTCCCATTGTGCAATGATAAAACAGTGTTTGGGGTTTTTTTTGAAAAAACCATACTGTAACATTCAAACACATGTTTCAAATTCTATGCGAAGAGTATTAATGAGAGAGCCTTCTAATAAAAATAAATGTTTGGGGAATACAACAATGTCTCATTATTTTGACAGCAAGTGTTATTTTGAGGGCGTATTTAAAAATTCACATTCTCAGAAAATAATGTACAAGGCATAAAATAGCAATATCCAAATTATATCACCTCTCCCAAATCATTACATTGTGATACTGTAGTGTCATTGCTGTTTGTACCACAGTATTATTTTTCTCTCTTCATTAAACATTTCTGAGATAATAGGCTAGGCTGCTAAAAACTGATTTCCCAACTCCATACAATAAGGTAACCTTTCACATTTCACTATTGTAGCACTATAACTGACTCCATTATATGGCTTCATGAGATTTGTAGTTTGAGGAAGATGTAGAAGACTTCTCTGACTAAATAAACCTAAACTGCAAATCCTATAATTCCATAAGATGTTTTCATAGCAGTTTTCATGGAATTGTGGCACTATAGTAAAGTAAAAAGGTCCAAGGACATAACATGAATCTTTTGTTTAAACCATTTGCCTTGTTTCTGCTACTTGCCTTGAGGATGCAGTAATATTTTTCTTCCATATTGACAAATATAAGGGATGTAAGTCAAACAGATAAAACATTAAGATGTTTTAATATACTTTCCCTGTATTCTATTTGTATTTTCTAGCCACTTATCATCTGCCTCAGTACATCCAATCTGCTGGGCCACATCAGTGCAGATGTCAGGAGAAAGCAAAGAACTATGTGTTTTGGTTTAGACCAGTGGTTCTCAACCTGTGGGTCCCCAGATGTTTTGGCCTTCAACTCCCAGAAATCCTAACAGCTGGTAAACTGGCTGGGATTTCTGGGAGTTATAGGCCAAAACACCTGGGGGCCCACAGGTTGAGAACCACTCGTCTAGAAAGACCAAGGGCGATATCTCTCTATTCCTTGCCCTATCCTGCTGTAGTGACTGAGCTGGACTATTTGGGCTTGATCCAGCCTTTATTCCTTTCAAGCAAATGGTGCCCATGGACCATTTGTCCTTGGGCAGTTCTGGTTTTTGTGCTCTATTATTCACTTGTTCAGTCATCTTTGCTTGGAGCAAGGTTTAGCATGCAATCTCAAGTGTACAGGGAAATTATTCAGAAAAGACTGAAAGCAAACAGAACTTTATTATTTATTCATTATATTTATCTCTTGCTCTTTGAACAATTCATGGAGGCTAGCATGTTGTTTCCAGATGGTTTCTCATTCAGGGCCAGACTTCAGCATTTGGGTTTCTCTATTGAATGTCAATTGCTGAGGAAGGTGAACAGGATGATGAAATTGAACTGCCTGCTTTCCATAATCATCTGCTCTGACTATGTGGCAATCAAATGTTGACCTAGATATCCTTCAGGTTAAAGGTAGCTCATTCCTAATTTCTTGAAATGCATGTGTCCTCTACACAGAACTTGCTAGCTGCCAACATTAAAATAAATAGGATAATTTCATACCTTTCAATGACAACATATCTATAACATAATTTTAAATTTGCGTTCAGGTCAACATTCAAAAGAACAAAGGCAAAATGCATACTATTACTATTGAAACCATTGTTTCCTGGATTTTTTTTGTTGAGAAAAATAGTTTTAATTCAACTTGAAATAGTGTCAGAGGAGAGGTTAGATTTTTCCAGGAATACAGCCAAATACCCCAAACACACCAAGATGCTGTGAAATCATCGAAGTACTGCAGGGTGAACTTTGATTAGTATTTGAATGAGAGAACAGTAACCAATACCAGATGCTGAAGAGTATATTTCAGAGAAAGAAACCAGCAAAACCTTTGAGTATTTCTTGCCTTTAAAAACCCTATGAATTTAATGGAATCCTAGGTCAATAGGCTACTTGAAGGCACATACACACTCACTTTAGCCTGTTGCTGCAAAAACAAGAAGTCCTTGTGGCATCTTAGTGACTAATAAGGATTTTTTTACACAGAGTTTTGTAGATTGCTACCCCCAAGTGCACAGCCTGAAGCCTCAGTAGGCAGATATTATATGTGGATGGGAAGATGTGGCATTTTAACAGATACAAGCTTCACCAAAAGAAATAAAGTCTTCAAAAATTTATTAAACAATAAACTAAAACAATTCAACAATTTCACATTCATCCCATGGCTCTTACCAGATAAAACAAGAGTGATTTGCTCCTTATAATGGATTTCCTCTGCTTATGGGAAGACACATGCATGCAGAACAGCAAGAGGTATTCAACATAAGCCTTCTTGAAGTGGTTTAAATGCAAAAGGATTCTATCTATTTTTACTTTTCAAACATCTCTCCGAAAACTGAGCATTATAACTATAAGCCATAGCAAAGTTTTTAAAATGTTTTCTCTGTGTTAGTAATAACTAGGTATGAGTATGGTGACAAGAAGAATCAGAGCTCACTTTATAACAGTTCCATTGCAAGGAACAGATTTTGCCCAAATGCAATGGATCTGGGCTGTTGTATACATCTAGGTGGGCCTGTGGAAGCTTCTTTTAAGGTGCTCCATGTGCCAAGTGTTCATGAACAGTGATTATACCATGAATGGGCTGACTTTTCCAATTCATTTTAAGAGCCTGAGAATAATGTCTAATCACATTGAGGAGCCACGACACACTCTACTTGTTGTATATCTTGATATGCAGTGATAGCCATGTTATGTGCAAAGATCCTCTGGAGCAATTGTTGTGTTAGTGGTGTTATTGTCAGATAAGTGCTTCTTAAAGTTTGATCCTCTGGGTGTTTTGCATTTCAACCTCAGACATAACAGCCAATTTGGCCAATGGTCAAGGAAGTTGGAACTGAAGGACCAAAGTCTGAGAAACTTTGGTTCTAACTGATGCTAAAAACATGCACTGCCTTGTGTGAGAAACCTGGTGCACAGCTGAATACGACATAATAAAAAGGAGACAAATTGTTAGGAAAGAAACATGGAGCACGGTGACTACAATTATAATTCTCAATAGAAGGAAGAATCCTCATGCGCTGTAATATATTGAGAGGAAGAAAAGAGCCATTGGAGTAGAGTTCCTTGCCCCAACTGAGAAACCCCTCAGTTACAGTTATGAAATTGTTGCTTTATATTACAAATGGCAGTCCTGGAAACATTATCTCAGTCCAGTAAGCAAACAGATAGACTTTATGGGGCTGTCTTGAAGTCCTCCATTAGTTAACCTTTCTGAAACCTACACAATAAGAGAAAAATCAATCAGTAAGATCATTTTCAGAGACCTACTAATACACTTCCATCTGTGTTTAAGGAAGAACAGCAAAAATGTTCATGAAGAATATATTTATACAATGGAATCACAAATTTTAGAAATAAGTAAGTGAGATTCAGGCTGTTGGGTTAGAATTGTAAACTGGTTTCCTGTTCAGAGATTAAACAACTGTAATTTGGACTTGTGATCTTGTAATTGCTTGTTATTTATGGTTGTTAATTATTCGCAAACCATAACTTTGCAGTCTGGCAATGTCCAAACTGAAGCATTTCCAGGGTGCTGTGGATCACGGTTGTGGAGAGTGACATCTGCATTGTGGGGAGCATTGAGACATGCAATTGTGGCAAGATGCCAAGCAACTTTCAAGCTGTTTGTTCTTAATAACAGGAGCATCATTCCCCAGCACCCCATTCTCCAGCACCTTGGAGACAGTTTGGTTGGGATGCTTCCAGCCTGCAAAGGCAAAGTTTTGGGAATGTCATCACATCTAACTACAATGACAAAACAGTCTTATTGAAGAGGCAGGATCTTGACCATAATATTATATTTACTTATGATTTTGTTATTTAAAAAAGGAAATGATTATAAGTATTTTGCTGTTTCAGATCTATTACTTTCAAATCTGGCTAAATCACCTGGACACCAGCACTGGCCATGTCCTTGGATTTGACATACAGATGCACTGGTTCCTATCTCTGTTCTAGAACAATTTTCTGGGGAGGAGACTGACAGCATGAATAAAATTAATTGTAGAACAACAACTAATAAATGAAAGGACATATTGATGCAATCGAAAATGTAAAACCGTCATTCTGAACAACTATAAGGGGAAAATACCTGGTGTTCTGATTCTCTGGAGGAGAGGAATAAATGCTTCCAGAATGCTTCGAATACGGTGCACTGTTGGAAAATAATAGCCAAATGTTTATGCTCATAGTCCCATGAACAGAAAGGAAATTAGAAGGGACTGTAATACATCTTCTGCAAGCTAGTGAGTTCCATTTCTGCTTCAGTGTCATACGTAATATAAACCTTCAGTCATATCACTTATTTTATTTCTATCCTAGCATACAATATCCATGGACAATGGAACTTACTTTGGAACACGTAAATGTAGATCGTACTAGAATTGGGAAGTCTTATATCTGAGCATGAAAAAGTTTATCGGCTATTTCATATAATTTGTATAAAATATACATAAAACATATTTGTTAATATTTGCTGTCAAGTTAGTTTTCACTTTAGGCAACTTTATAAATAAGAGACCTCTAAGAGCACAAAACACATACCAAGGCCAAAATATATTCCAGTTGTTTCTAAGCCTGCAAAGGTCATCAAGCCAATACCAATGGAAACGGTCCAGTCTAAAAAGATAAGCATGAATAAATTAATGTCTGTTCTCTCTTGGCTCAAATCAAACAAATGCATTGCCATTTTTACTTACTGTTATATTTGTAATAGCAAACTAATAAGATTCCAACAGCAAAACAAAGAATGACAAAATGGAAGAATTCATCTGGAATAAGAAAATAAAACAAATTCAATTGGTCATCACACTTGAAGATCTAATTAATAGTCTGCAATTTTCAAAAGATCCTATATATAGTTAAAGCTGTATATATCAAAGGTTTTGAAGTATGAGTAATCTGATTATTCACATAGTTTTATAACCGCAGACATTGTTACTAACTGCATGCAACATAATATATATAAGCCTTCCCAGTGCATTATGAACCTTCAGATTTGAAAGATTTTGAGTCAGCAGACCTCTTATCCATATACATTATGAATGTCTTTTTATTATTCACACACAAGTAGAGATGCTGCAGTAGGAACACATTCAAAGGTTGGAGGCAGAAAGACACCATTAAGAAGAGTACTATAAACTTGTTAAGGGCTTTTAGTGAAAATTCAAGATGCGTAGTCTAACTATGATTAATTATTATGCTAGGGAAAACTGTATACTATTTTACAATTCTAGGACGTTAGCCTCACATTTAAAACAAGTATCTGGGGTTGAGCAGGGTTGATGATTAAGTCTGTGATCTGATAAATACTTACCATCTTTTTGGATGCCCAGTGTCCACCATCCTGGGTGGTGAGGAGATGGGCAGACACCCTTTTCAGGCACTGGGAAAAACAAAATTTGATTAAAATGATAGGCAAACAATTTTAATGCAGGTAACAGCCAGGAGCTGAAAATGTTCATTTAACTAGTGGGCTATCTCAGGGGATTTCTAGATGCTGGATTCCTAGGGTGACATCAATCAAAAGATACAATGCAGCTCTCTAGTCTTTTCTGTTTTAACTAATTTTGCATGCAAGCATGTGAAGAAACTATTGGAAAATGTAGAATGGTTGCAAATGAAGGACACAATTATCTCAGTGCTACTTGAAATTCTGGTACATGGGCTAGTGGCAATGTATGAGCTATGAGCTGTCAGTCTGTGGTGAGTTTCCAGGAAATAAAGAATTATAGTCAATGGGTACATATATAGTGCAGGTGATCCTGCTGATCCTCCTCACCAGATAGCTTAAGCACTACTGTCTTAGATATCACACCCACGAAATTCTGAGAAATGAAGTAGGGTGATTATATGATACCCATGACATTCCAAGGAATGAAGGAGAGTAATTATAAGATACCTGCATCATCTGGAAGAACACTTAGATACTGGACAACAAGTAAACCTGTCAGTAATCCAATCCAAGGCTGAGCACAAAAGCTACATGCCAAGATGCCACTCCTTAACTGCAAAGAACTGCCAGTTCCATTTACTCTACATATCTTTTCCCCAAGCATGACAATGCCTGCCCGCCCAACCACCTACCCACTTTTTTGGGGGCTTTCTTCATCAAAGGGAAATGGTAGAAGGGGTTCATGGGGACAATGTAGGTTCAAGCAGAAATGTAATGTAAACTGAGCCCTATTCAGCTCTTCAGGTTTTGGATAAAAAGGAGATCATGCTTTTTTCTGCTGAACTCATTGCCACTGTTATCACCCTGTTCTCTTTGCATAAGATTCCCTCCCCCCTCAGTGCTGCAAACCATTGCATTACACCTGTGTCAACAAGTAAGCATTTTGAAATTTATTTATTTATTATTTATTACTGTGCTTATATACCGCCGTTTCTCAGCCTAAATCGGCGACTCAACGCGGTTTACAACACAACGACAAGCAGCAATATTCCATTAAAAAGCATAAAAACACATACACCATACACAATATTATTGGGCCACCAATAATAATCCAATGCATCTCTTAATTGTAGTCGCAATCCAATTTCGTCGTCTGTGATTAACCAATCCTTGTTCATCAGTTTCGTTGCACCAGATTAATCGAATGCTTGTTTAAACATCCATGTCTTCAACCTTTTTCGAAATACCATCAGCGAAGGGGCTGATCTCACCTCTATGGGGAGGGCATTCCAAAGCCGAGGGGCCACCACAGAAAAGGCCCTGTCTCTCGTTCCCGCCAGCCGCACCTGTGAAGCAGGCGGGATAGAGAGCAGGGCCTCCCCAGAAGATCTTAGGGTCCTGGTGGGCTGATAGGCCGAGATACGTTCGGATAGATAAGTTGGGCCAGAACCGTTTAGGGCTTTAAAGGCCAGCGCCAGCACTTTGAATTGGGCCCGGTAGCAAATCGGCAGCCAGTGGAGCTGGTACAGCAGAGGAGTTGTATGCTCCCTGCGCCCCGCTCCTGTTAGTATCATGGCTGCCGCCCGTTGGACTAATTGGAGCTTCCGAGCCGTCTTCAAAGGCAACCCCACGTAGAGAGCGTTGCAGTAGTCAAGACGGGATGTAACCAGAGCGTGGACTACCGTGGCCAAGTCAGACTTCCCAAGGTATGGTCGCAGTTGGCGCACAAGTTTTAACTGTGCGAATGCTCCCCTGGTCACCGCCGAAACCTGGGGTTCCAGGCTCAGCGATGAGTCCAGGATCACACCCAAACTGCGAACCTGCGTCTTCAGGGGGAGTGCGACCCCGTCCAACACAGGCTGTAACCCTATACCCTGTTCGGCCTTGCGACTAACCAGGAGTACCTCTGTCTTGTCTGGATTCAATTTCAATTTGTTCGCCCCCATCCAGACCGTCACAGCAGCCAAGCACCGGTTCAGGACCTCAACAGCCTCCTTAGTAGCAGGTGGAAAGGAGTGACAGAGTTGGACATCATCTGCGTACAGATGACATCGCATTCCGAAACTCCGGATGATCTCGCCCAGCGGCTTCATGTAGATGTTAAACAACATGGGAGACAGTATTGAACCCTGAGGAACCCCACAAGACAAAGGTTGTGGGGTTGAACAGGAGTCTCCCAGTAACACCTTCTGAGACCGACCCTCGAGGAATGAGCGGAGCCACTGCAGAACAGTACCTCCAAGACCCATCCCTGCGAGGCGTCCCAGAAGGATACCGTGGTCGATGGTATCGAAGACTGCTGAGAGGTCAAGCAGCACCAACAGGGACACACTCCCCCTGTCGAGCTCCCGACGCAGATCATCCACTAAGGCGACCAAGGCTGTCTCGGTACCATGCCCCGGTCTAAAGCCAGACTGTGCCGGGTCCAGATAATCCGTGTCTACCAAGAATGCCTGGAGTTGTGAGGCCACCACACGTTCCATGACTTTGCCCAAAAAGGGGAGATTGGAAACAGGCCGATAGTTGACGAATTGAGTGGGGTCCAGTGATGGTTTTTTCAACAGCGGTTTTATCACAGCTTGCTTTAAGCTGGCTGGAATTTTGCCTTCCCGAAGGGAGGCATTAACCACCACCTTCACCCACTCGGCCAATCCCCCTCTGGCCTCCTTCAGAAGCCAGGATGGGCAGGGGTCTAGGATGCATGTGGTAGCTCTCATTCCTCCAAGCACCTTGTCCACATCCTCGGATTGAACCAATTGAAATGAATCCATCAAAACCGGACAAGCAGATGCTCGTGTTACATCCTCAGATACTGCCGTTAATATGGTATCCAGTCCAGAGCGGATCAAAGCGACTTTGTCTGTGAAAGAACTGAGCAAAAGCTTCACAGCGAGCTGCCGAGTCATCAGGGCACCCATCCTGAGTGGTGGGTTTTAACAGGCCTCTGACAACTCGGAACAGTTCAGCCGGACGGTTCTTTGCAGACGCAATAGTGGCCGCAAAGAAAGTCTTCTTAGCGGCTTTTATTGCCGCGGCATATGCCCTTAAAAAGGACACAAACCGTGTTCGATTTGGCTCGCTCGGATCCGAACGCCACACGCTCTCTAGTTCCCTCTTCTTTCGCTTCAACGCTGCCAGCTCCTCGGTGAACCAAGGAGCTGGTTTAGCTCGGCTACTTGAGAGGGGACGTTCTGGAGCGATCGTGTCTATTGCCCTAGTCATCTCCCCATTCCAGAGAGCGACCAGGGCATCAACAGGATCACCTACCGAGGTGGCGGGAAATTCCCCAAGAGCCGTCAGGAATCCATCCGGATCCATAAGCCTCCTGGGGCGGACCAGCTTAATGGGTCCTCCACCTCTGCGGAGGTTAGGGGTGCAGTGAGTCTAAAGCTGACCAGGTGGTGGTCGGTCCATGGCAACGGAGAGATGGATAACTCCTCAACACCGCCACCTTCCTCCCATCCCTGATAAAAAACTAAGTCCAATGTATGTCCAGCACTGTGGGTGCTGGACATACATAGCCTGCATAATTAGTTGCCACATATCTTTCAATGACTATAGGGTGTTCGTTACTTAGATTCCTCCTCCTTCCCCACTCCACAGCAGTAAGACGCAGTGCAGAGAAGAAACAACCAAGTTCTTCTGTTCTGTGTCGATCAGAGGAGTGGCAACTAGTTCAGTGACTTTTTTGGGGACCAGAGATGGGTGTTTAGCATAGACAATTGCTAAGGAAGACCCTCACATATTTCCCATCCTGGCACCAGTGATCACTGACAAATATTTATTTGAGAACATAGTTAATAGGAGTGTAGCCAGATGTTTATAGGAATGTTGCCGAAACCCCCTCTGGCACAGTGGGTTAAAGCACTGAGCTGCTGAACTTGCTGACCGAAAGGTTGCAGGTTTGAATCTGGGGAGTGGCGTGAGCTCCTGCTGTTAGCCCCAGTTTCTGCCAATCTAGCAGTTTGAAAACATGCAAATGTGAGTAGATCAATAGCTACCACTCCAGTGTGAAGGTAATGGCGCTCCATGCAGTCATGCCAGCCACCTGACTTTGGAGGTGTCTACAGATAACGCTGGCTCTTTGGCTTAGAAATGGAGATGAACACCAACCCTCAGAGTCGGACATGACTGGACTTAATGTTAGGGGAAAACCTTTACCTAACCTTCCATGATGTAGGGATGAAGGAATTGCTCCCCCATAAGCGTTCTATTCTTCATCGAATTTGCCTACATTTCCCAAATTTCTAGCATTGCAGAGAGTGAGACATTGGAAATAGTCCACTCCTACAATTCTCATATTTTCTGCATTCACATTCCCTTGATAACATTCTTTGCAATCTTTCTTTAGATGCCTAAAATGTATTTCTAAAAGCTCAACTGAAACTTTAGGGTAGTGCCAGAAATTTCGGAAATGAAGAAAAAAATGATGGATTGGAGAATTCTTATTGAGGAGTAATGGTCTTAATTCCCCCCCACCCCCCACCCCTAAAACTGCATCCCTGTTAGTCAAGGAAAACAAAAGCCAATGGGCAAGGTATGCAAGAATGATTTTTAAAAAAAATCTCTTTCACACTTTATGAAAGAAGGTGGTGCCATGTCAAGCTTTTGTCCCAGATGAATAACTAACATAATATGGGTTAGGCGAATTAAATAAGACAAAATTAAATAAGCCCTCTTTTTCAATCTGTCATTTATATTTACCAGTTGCAGGTGCCTCTTCTCTCTTCATAACTTCTGAAAAGAATAAGACACCACATCACAAAAAAGGTGGCAACTTCTTGAGGTAAAAGGCTTTAATAATCTGCCCATATTTTTATATTGAATGTGTGCACGCATCAGGATTCTTGCCAAAGATTTGAGCGCTGTAAAAGAACTATTTTCTTAATCACTTTTTTGTTACAGGTTAATTCCAATAATAATAATACAGTTGTATCTTAACCCCAATAATAATACAAGGCACCAATACAGCAAATCTCTGATAAGGAACAAAGCCTTCCTTTTTGGTCCAGATGAAAAGTAAGAACCCTGAGATGTACGTAAAAGACATATCAAATATATGAATAATCAAATCTACAAAAGTTAAACCTTCAAAAGTAGCACGCCAACTGTATTCTCTTATACTGCATATGCAATAATCTTTTACTACGATAACCACTAGAGGGAGTGTCAGGATACCTTTCCTTAAAAGAAAAACAACTACCATTTTGTTGTTTGCCCAATCTGTTTTTAAACAGCTGGTGCAAACCACATCCTTTCATTATCTAACGTGAGCTTTTACCAAGTGATTCTCCATGCATGCAAAAGGAGACTACTCCTTTTGTATGTCTCCCTTTAGGATACATTCAGTGGTAAGTGATTCTAGTGTCTAGATGGTATTTTGATGTCTACATGTCATAGATATGCCCACCATGCCATGCAGTATTTATGAAACTGTAAGATTGACTTATAATCTCATAACTTTTGGTATTCATATTGACAGTTGTTAATGACCAGTCACAACTCCCAAAACCTACCTCCTAAGCCAGCTGGCAACCCCAAGTGAAGGTTTCCAAGACACTGCAGACTGAGGGTCACCAGGAAATAATGACTGCAAGGCTCTCAAGGAGTTTCCCCCTCTGCTCCTTTCAGTTCTCCTTATGACCGGGTGCAATATGACAGACATCATTTGCCAGCTCTGTGATTTATAGTTTCTCAGAAACACTACAATTTGGGCACTGGTTGGCTTTAAGAGTTTTTGTGCTTTGGCACCAGGAGAGGTAATGAAAATAACAGAGCTCTATCCTTGTTGCTCCTATGTCTTATGACGCAAAATCTCAGTCAATATGTATACATGCGGAGACTCCCTAGTTTAACCTAGTTTTGTTATCAGCTGGATGACATAGAATAATTTCAAGCACACTGAAAACAAAACTAGACAATCCACTGCTACTGCAAGTTTCTACATTAAGCCTATCATCTATCATTATTACACAATTACTCTAAATCCCATGGCTTTATCCTGGGGAATCCAGGGATTTGTAGTTTGGTGTGATACCTAGAATTCTAAGCTAAAGAGCATGAATGTGAATCATGAAAATCACATGCTATGAGACTGCTGAACTTGGAGGGTATGAATATGTATAAACATTAGTAATGAACACTGCCCAAGACTAACTGTTTACCAAACTAGATTAGACCCAATTCAAATTTCATTGATTCAATGAGTCTACTCTAGTTTGGAAGAATAGGAATTTAGGTCAAGATTAAGCATACCACAGCTCATGGTTCATCAGGGGCTTTATTTTTGAGTCTGCAAACTTTGCTTGGCCCCAATTTAATTTTTCTTCATATTTTGGGAGGATTAAATGGCTCCCAGTGGTTAAAATGAGTAAAGCATTGTTCTTGTGCAGCTGAAGAAATCCAACACCTCTCAGATGTCTATGATGCATGAGAATTCATTGATGCCACAAAGATCATCTATGGCCCAGCAAATCATGGCATGCATCCTATATGCTCATCAGATGGAACTAAACTTCTAAAAGACAAAAAACCCCAATTGCACTACACTGGAAAGAGCACTACACCATAACCCCCTTAACTGTACCTCCAATGTGGCCAAAGAGGTTTCTCACAAATCCCACAAGAAACCAGGGATAAGCTTGCAGTACTAGTTTGGAGGACGACAGCAAAGCCTTCAGCCAATTAAAAAATAACAAAGCAAGTGGACCTGATGAGATCCCTGTTGAAATCTTTAAAGAAGGTTGACCTGACCTGAAACAACAACTCCACCAGCTCATTGAAAACGTGTGGGTGACCACAAAGATCCCAGCAGACTTCAAGGATACCACTATCATGACCCTTTTCAAAAACGGGGAAAGAACAGACCTTGGAAACTATTGAGGTTTCTCCCTTTTAACCCCTGCTGGGAAAATTCTCACAAGAATCCCTGCAAAATGCCTTCTACCTATTTCAGAAGACATCCTCACAGAATCCCAGAACACCTTCTGCCTCTCCAGAGGAACAATGGATATGATCTTCACTGCACAACAGTGCCAACAAAAATGCAGGGAACAAAATCGACTTCTGTACTTGGCATTCATTGACCTTGCAAAGGCATTTGACACAGTGAATCGCAGTGCTCTCTAGACCATTCTCCAAAAAATCAGTTGCCCTGGCAAATATGTGAACATCCTGCAACTCCTGCATGATGGCAAGAGTCTTGGACAGCAGTGACTCCCAAAGTGACACACTTAAGATGGAATCAGGTGTCAAACAGGGATGTATTATTTCCCTAATCTTATTTTCCATTTCCATATCTGATTCTGCACTTTGTTGATAGGAAGATTCCGACTGGTGTGGAAATTACCAAGGTCACACCAAAGTCTGTTATAGAACTCCAATAGGCTGATGATAATATAGTCACAGTCCCTCAAACTGTTGGAGGGATGGATTATAATTTGAAAAAAACAAAACCATGAATGAATTCCTATGCACACCATACATATCATTTTGTAATGCAAAAAAAAAAACCCACTTAAAAACAATAAAATAATTAAAATGAAGAACAATTTTAACAAATATAAAGTTATTAGTATTTCAATGGGAAGTGTGGGTCTGCTTTTGGCTGATGAGAGAGGATTGTTGTTGCTGTGTGCTTTCAAGTCATTTCCAACTTAGGTTGACCCCGAGCAAGGGCCGGGTAAATCCGTATCTGCCCCCCCGGGCCTTAGTTTGAGGACCCCTACCCTGGACAAGCCATCGCCAGTTGTGAATGTAGATTACTTGCCTTTCTCACCATATGGAACAACTTCAGTGGATGGATCTAAAGTGGTGCACACAGAGAGAACAGAGAAACAGAAAATTGCTGTTAATTCCAGTTTCTAATTTGGTCCGATATGTTTTGATGTAATTACATGGGAGATTTGCAAAAACAGAGGCTTTATATGAGTGAAATGCCTATTCTTTTGGTGGGTTGGCAAAATCCACCCCTAGGTCTCCATATAATTTATGCAGAAGCTTCCAAAAGTGGCAATGCACTATTTCAACAAGTCACATCGCCCTATCACAAAGTACCATTCAAGATGACTGGAGTGGGTATCCAGTCATTCCCATTTATATTTTTCCATGTTTTGGCATTGTTTTGGAAGTCCGTGTTGGCCCCAAGGAGTCCTGAATAAGGACCTGATTCACTGGGACTCAACAAATTGTCCTCATGTATCAACAGCTTCCAGATGAGAGGGGAGGATATATTAAATGTTTTAAGGATTATTTCTATAAAAAAGTCCTTTCTTGATGACACCCCCACACAAAAATATTATTCCAAAATATCAGTCAAATGAAGATGCAAATGGACTCTGGATTGCTGCAGCAATACTGCCTTTTATTGTGTTTGTGTTTGTCAGAGCTGTTGACATGGAGAAGTCTAGTAGTACTCTCTTTTGAACCTGTCCCACACATGTATTTCATGAATAGGTGTTGTTAAAATATTTGAGGAAGTTCCCTCTTTGCCATTTTATTCAATATTGGTCTGAAATAGTCTATTAGATTTATACAACTGTTATGTAAGAAACACAGCTTCAATGCTTCTACTTTCACAAATAGTGACTGGGCTCTTCACAGGAAATGGCAATGGAGGGTATACTGTCAAGGTGCATCTATTAGAACTTGGAAAAGCCCTTATTGAACTTCTTTGAATTTACTACCAAAATGCGCAAGCAACTTGCTTACTGATGATCCTGATGGGAAATTCCATGAGTTGTTCTATAAAGTAGCTCTGCTACTTCCCCATCCACCTTCTCTTTCTACTTCATCCACTTGTTTTTATGTTTATTGTTTAATACAGCATTTTAACCTCTCTTATCACTGTCATCATGATGACATGCTATTACACTGAAAGAATAACAGACCAAAACTAGCAACCCACTAGGAATGAATAAATGAATATGTCCTTTATGTATATGTAGGTCCTTTTTGGGATTGATATTCCCTTTCTTCCTATGCAGCACATATAGTAGTTATACCATGGAAACCAGGAGTGCAGAAAATGTAGTCTGTGGACTACATGTTGGCCCCCAAAGCCATTGTTGCAGACAAAGCAATGCCAGAAATACAGCTTAATGGTGTAATATGTTGACCATTTCTGCTACCTTGGCAGCCACCTCTCCACAAAAGTCTACATTGACACTGAAATACAACACATGTCAGTACACATAGGTGAAAGTAATCTGATACACATTATGAGAACCATCAGAAACAAAGCAGTCACTATTTCAGTCACCCACAAGGACAATTTGGGAGTATGCTAAATTTTTGGAATTCAAGTAAGGGATGCTCAATCAGTAATAATAACATGTATATTGGCAATTTGGGGATTATGCATCCTCCCCAAGAAATGTTTATCTTTATTAGTTTACATCAAAGAAGGCAACACCAATGCCCTCTATGACTTTTGGTGAAGTGTCCCTGTTCCACTCCCCAGTCCTCTAGATTTTTAACATTAAGAAATAACTCCCTGGGAAACGTTTTACTCTCCCCCTCCCCCCTTTTGGGATGTAGTAGGCCCCAGGGTCTTCCAGTTCACTTCCTTGTTGTTTAAATGCATCAAAAAGCCATAGAGGGGAGCCAGAATGAAATGTGGATGGTGGCAAGCGGTGAGATCTGTAACACTGGCCTTGGTGACCTTACTTAGGCAATCCCCCATTAGTAGCGCATATGAAACACACGCGAATTTTGTGTTAGACTTTGGTGCTATCTCCAAGATTATATATGTATATGAAAGTGCAAGTATTCCAAAATCTGGGGAGGGGGGGGGGGAGAGAATCTGAAATGGCAAACACTTCTGGTCCAAGCATTTCAAGATAAGGGATATTCTACCTTTACTGGTCTTTGCTACCACATACACAAAGTGAACTATACACATACACAAAATGACCTATCACAGTGCGGATTTGGTAGTGATGTGCCTGTTGGCAACTTTAAAACATCCTGTGTCATATTTTACATTTTAAAAAGAAGAAATAGAAAGTGGTCCCCACAAGAAGGTTACAATTCATGGTCCCAGATACTGGTATGCAACAGAGGAGGAACAACCAGAGCTTTTGAGCCTGAATTATTGTTTTTATGCTATTGGTTTTATCTTTTATTGTATTATGTGTTTATTTTATGCATTGTTTTAGGAATTTTGTGACATCACCACAAGTCTCTTCAGAAAGATGGAGGCGGGGTCAAAAAATGTTATATCCATGTCCACATTGAGCAAAGTAAATCATAATGGTTATTGTGTATTACCTTGCGACTGAGTCTCTGTTCCAAACTCTTCAAAAGAGTCATCCTCACTCTCTTCTTGCAGGTTAGATCTTTTCTCTCGTTTTTGTTTCTTGCCTGTTAAATTAGGGGGAAAAACACACCAAGAATTTACTTTTTACATTACATTGAAGATAGAGGATGTTTTACATGCTTATACACATCTGCTAACAATAACAGGGCTGGGGTCAAATTCCAGGTGTGTCCAGATGGACAGAACCTGTCAAATCCACATTCATTATGGTAACAAAAAGAGTGAAGAAGCAGTGATAAAATGCTGGATTACATTGAGAAGACAATCCCATACACAGCCCAGAAATGAGTATAAACATCACACATTACACACGTTACAAATTAGTACTCTCACAGCATTTAAAATACTATAGTTCTTGCCACCTTTACATACACAGTGTGATGTAGTGGTTTGGGCATTGGACTGTGCCTCTAGTGATCAGAGTTCAAATCCCTGTTTGGCAATGGAAACCCAATGGTGGCCTTCTCTCAGAAGAATGCTATGACAAATTCCCTCTGAACAAATCTTACCCAAAAAATTCCTCTTTGATATGTTTGTGTTAGTATTGGCATAAGTTGAAAATGACCTAAATAGCAACTGCTTAATATGGGGCAAAGTCCCCTATTTGAGTTTCAAAAACCACACATTACACTTTGCAAGCAGCAAATGCTATAATGGTTTCATACAGCAGAAAGGGAGAAAATCTAATAAACATCCTGCTCAGATTTAACACACCTAAAGAATTGCTGTATATTCTCTGCTGAAGGAAATTCCATTATTTCTTGAATTAATCTGCTCTACTGCCAAACAACTCTCGCTGTAAGGAAGTGTCTCCTGATGTTCAGTCAAAATGTGCTTTCCTGTTTTTTCCATAAAAGTGGTTACAGTTCCACACTGTTAAACAATAGAGGAAATGTCTGTTCTATTTTCTGCATGAAGCCCCTTAAGAAATTGAAGACAACTATCATATTTTACATTAATCTTCCAGGTGAACCAATGTTTCAAATGTTTTTGAAATTACTCAGTTTCCAAACCACTCCCATTAGTGATCATTCTTTCTCTGCCTGTGATCTAATTTGTCAATATAACTCTTAATTTGTGAGATCCAATACTATATACTTAGAAATAATGCAGAATAGAGCCACTTAGTGATCCGGTAAATCACCTAGTTCCTCACTCCACATGCAGACAAGGTCTCCTACATCCTGTAGTTATCTCTTTTATCTTTCCTGTACATACAGCTGATTTTATATTAACCTCATGACTGCCACTTTGCAATCTTTACAGAACCTTCAGCCTCAATTTCCTCTTGAAATTCTGATCTCTTATCTCATTTTTGGTTTCTACTTGATAAATTATGGGGGAAGGAAGACACACTGTTGAAATTAGGGTAGGATGGGATACCACATAACTTGATTTACAAGACAACCTCTGTTTAAATTAATGCATGGGCTTGTCTCCTTTTAGAGAAATGGTTCAATAATAGCTCCTAACTGCCAAACCTAAGAGACATGTACATAAAAGTTGGGGGGGAATGTCAAACAGTAAAGTGCCCTTTTCCCTCATAAAAAAGCAAACTGATTTTTCCATTTAATATAAGGAGCACCATTTAATATTAGGGGGGGGGGTGTTCTGGAACAAGTACCCAGTGGATACTAAGGCCCACTGTACTGTATTACACAGGCAGTTGACCTGTAAACACATATAATTGTTTCATAGGCAGCCTATGAACCATCCCTCACTCATATCATTGATTTACATTACCTTTTCGGTTTTGTGTTCGATGTGAGTCAGGGGAATTTGGGTTACTCATTGCTGTATCTGTAAAAACACAGTTTGGAAATGAGGTGAGTCCTTCAATTCTTCTGGAATGAATGATCTTGTTTAAATGGTTAATCTCAGATATGGCAGAATCATTGAATCATTGGAATGAAACACCACCACCGCCACCCTTCTAATATCACCTATGTAATACTAATACAATCTGCTTCCTGTGACATTGTACTGGGAATTCCCAAGGTCTCCAGTTTTGGCGCTTCCCTAGCAACCCTATTTGTCATGGTTCTTTGTTTTAAAATTATTTTGTATGGATGGATATGTTGCCCTTCAATAAAAGGTATTTCTATGAAGGCTAACAATAATTAATAGTTGCATGGGAGGGCACCACCATGAAAACTTTGCAAACAGACTTTTATGATCTTCAAGGTATTTATAGGATTATCTCCAAAGACTGTCATAATTTTCATGACCTGGTAGTATCTTGTTTTCGTAGCTACAATTCATTTGATGTCCCACTAGTCCTGGAGACAACTCAGAAAGTTCTGATGCTTGGAATTCCATTTGCTGCCAAATTACTGCCTGGAGATGGCTGGCTGGAACATGTTTCACCCAAGATCAAAATATCTTCGGTTGCTTCCAGGCAGAATTCAAAGCTAAGCTTTTCAACTATCAAAGCTTTCAGGGCTTGGGGCCAAGGAACAGAAAATACCTCTTTTGAACTGGCAATCCGAGATCTTTGATAGAAGTTCTACTCAGAAATTAGGTGGGTAGTGATCAAAATGCAGAGCTTTCCTAAGGTTCCAGTTTTTGGAATTCCCTCCTACCAAATGTTTAGCACCTGTAAAGATAGAATATTAACAGCATCTGAAAATAATGAATTACCTCAAGATTTTAATAGATGACTGAATACAGGCAATCCTCAATTTACAAACAGCCAATGTACATATGACTCTTAGTTACAAACAGAGGTGTAAGACAACAGGAAGTGAGAGGAAATCTACTCTTAGGAAAGGGAATTCACTGATATAAGAGTTATCATGGAGAACATGTGTCTCCACTAAAGCTTTATCACTAATCCTTGTTTCCATGACAACCCAAAATTTTCAAAATCCAATTATTACTAGGACAAGAAGTGAGGTGAAGTCTTCTGACAGCAAAACAAACAACCCAGTGGTGTTAACCCTTTCCTATGTTATCCAAAATTTTAAAAATTGGCTGTAATTACACTTTAAAATGTACCTGTTCTGATTTACATATAAATTCAACTTCATTACACTTAAGAACAAACTTACACAACTTACATTGTTCATAACTTGGGTGCTGCTTGTACTCCCTTTAATTGCCAGTGCAGGACTAGGTCTCTAGTAGAAGAGGCTTTGAAATCTCTGAAACCTGCCTGGTGGTGTTGGGCAAGTCACTCTCTCAAACACGGGGGCAAACCCCCTCTGAAGTAATATTGCCAAGAAAATCCATAAATCAAAGGTCACCATAAATCAGAAGTGATCTGAAATCACACAACAACAAAATTCCAGTAGACTCTCAGTTAACTGACACCCATGTGGATTGAGGGATACTGGATAAGTTAAAGTGTAATTTCTTTGGGGGTTTTTATGGGGGGGGGGTTGCCTTTTGCTTAGAAATTTTGCCTGTTTGGCTTCCAGTTAGCTCAGAGTCTACTCCACTCCTTTCCTCAGTTTTCCATGTTCTTTTTGGTTGTACTGGTGATTTTGCTGCGGTGTTCCTCCCATTGTGAAAAAAGATGTCCAATACCTTCTTGAACAGTGTCCCTCTCTTTTGAGTGCAAACGCAGCTCCCACAGCAAATTAAACGTTGGAGAGACACCCAGACAGAATCTGGTTTCGTTTAAGCAGCCAGGGAAAAGGGAGCAGCACCACTCTCTCTAATATCCAGTGTTACGGTACATTTTCTTTACAGGTAGCAGAGAGCGATAGCTGTCTCTTTTTCTAGTTGTCCATTTGCAGCTACATAGTTCCTGGTATCTCCTGCCTCCTTGGCCACTATGAGACTTTGGGGCTTTACCACCACTAATCTTACTTGCATAGTAACTCAGGCAGTGCTTTACTCTCCACTGTGATATTATTTGGATGTTATTCTTTGTGTGGTTGTGATTTTAGAAATGGACACTTAAGAGACAGGATGGAGGATACATAACTCAGCAATACTACATGTGAAAACATGTTATTTTTATTGAAAGTTGAACATGAGTCAGCAATGTCATGCCGCAACAAAGAAAATAATTGCTATTGTCTCATGAATTAATAGAAGCATTGTTTCCAAGCTGAGGGAAATAATAGTCTCACTGTATTCCATACTACTCAGGTCTCACCTGGAGTACTGCATTCAGTTCTGGGTGCTTCCTTTTAAAAGGATATAGACAAGTCTCTAAAAATGGCAACAAAGATAAGAAGTATGGAGAACAAAACATATTTTAAAAGGTTGAAAAAGCTAGAACATGCTTAGCTTGGTGAAAAAAAAGGCGAAGGAGGAATATGATTGCACTCTTTATACACCCCAAGGGCTTTTACAGAAAAGAGAGGCCAAGTTTGTTCTCTGATGCTCCAGAATGTAAGACTGGGTATAATGATTTGAAGTTACTGGAGAATGGATTTTGGCTCAATATTATAAATAAACTTTTGATAGTGGGTGGTTTGACAAGGGAACAAACTGCCTAGATACGCTGGCAGCGACCTGCTGGGGAAGCTTTATCTGGATATTCAGCACAAACTAGGGGATTAGACTAGATGCCCCAAGAGGCCACTTCCAACTCTATGAACATTACAAATTCTTGAAATAATATAGTACCACCAAACACACAAGCTGTCTTCAAATGTAATTTAACTTTTTAGTGATGCTGGAATCCACTTGAAAATCCAATGTCACAATTTGTTCAGTTAATGTGCATAATTTTGTTTTACTATAATACAGCAAAGGAATCTACCCTAAAGTAATGTAACTGTCTTATACTGGATATAATTTTTCATACTCTAATGTATCACTCCTTAATTCCAAAAACCATAAGAGAGAACTTTCTTGAAACATTCAAGCAGACACTGTGACTCATGCACTATTCTCTCAGAAAACTTGCTCTGACAGCCAGTTTTATCCTGCAGTGCTTTAAAAGGAACCAATGGAATTATAAATGGAAGAGTTAGTGTGAGCAATATTAACCCTCATGCCAACTTTAAATGTAGAAGAAAGGCTATTACAACCAAATGGTTGCTTCCTAGTTAAAGAAGAAACAGATCTAAATACTGATATGAAACAATATTCCTTCATTATTTGTTCTGTGTACCTTCTGAAAGAAAAGGAAAACATGGGCCAAAACTAACAAAATGAAGCTCAACAGTGACAAATGCAAGATACTCCACTTTGGCAGGGGAAACAAAATGCAAAGATACAGAATGGGGACGCCTGGCTTGAGAGCAGTACGTGTGAAAAAGATCTTGGAGTCCTCGTGGACAACAAGTTAAACATGAGCCAACAATGTGATGTGGCAGCAAAAAAAGCCAATGGGATTTTGGCCTGCATTAATAGGAGCATAGTGTCTAGATCTAGGGAACTAATGCTACCCCTCTATTCTGCTTTGGTTAGACCACACCTGGAATATTGTGTCCAATTCTGGGCACCACAATTCAAGAGAGATATTGACAAGCTGGAATGTGTCCAGAGGAGGGCGACTAAAATGATCAAGGGTCTGGAGAACAAGCTCTATGAGGAGCGGCTTAAAGAGCTGGGCATGTTTAGCCTGAAGAAGAGAAGGCTGAGAGGAGATATGATAGCCATGTATAAATATGTGAGAGGAAGCCACAGGGAGGAGGGAGCAAGCTTGTTTTCTGCTTCCTTGGAGACTAGGACACGGAACAATGGCTTCAAACTACAAGAGAGGAGATGCCATCTGAACATGAGGAAGAACTTCCTGACTGTGAGAGCCGTTCAGCAGTGGAACTCTCTGCCCCGGAGTGTGGTGGAGGCTCCTTCTTTGGAAGCTTTTAAACAGAGCTGGATGACCATCTGTCAGGGGTGATTTGAATGCAATATTCCTGCTTCTTGGCAGGGGGTTGGACTGGATGGCCCATGAGGTCTCTTCCAACTCTTTGATTCTATGATTCTATGTAAAAAAGAGATGAAGGGTCAGAATCTTGCCACTGGCCTAAAATAGTAACCAACATGGTTTTGGCCATCATCCAGTTGTTTGTTTTATGTTTCTTATTTAGTAATTGCATCTGGCATTGAATGTTTACCATCTTTTGTTGTGAATTGTACCAAATATTCAAAAGCTATGTTCATCCCACCAACCTCATACATCTCATTAAAATAATAAGTAGTCATTTTATTATTGTTTTAAATTCTTGCAGGTATTTGCATGTTATTCATAGATGACAAAAATATTGGAAATGTATGCTAACTTTCAAATCAAATATAAATGAAAGGATTTCAGGAGATATGTTGTGTCCCCATACATTTCATTTGTATCTCTTATAAGGGGTTGGTTTAACTTTTGGTTTCCTAGTAAAACTGAATTACTGTGTCACAAAATGATGCATGTCTAAAAAGTTTGTCATCAACATGAAATCTTTGGATGGTTCTGCCTTAGAAGAAAGGTGAAATGTAAATGTAACAAATGACATTCTCATTATTTTTATGGAGGCAAGAAAATATTTTTTCTTTTTCTACACCTTTGAAGACAGTTTTCTCAAGCAAACAGCTCTTGTATGTGTTATAAAGTAATTCTGTGCCCATGAAACCTTAGGTGTGGTAGTGTTTATCCTTATCTGACAAAATGTGTCATCCTTGGGCATTTTAAAGGCACTCCAGCACTATAGCCAGAAATCCTTCATTTCAATATGACTCGCTTTATCTGTGATTTTGTGTGTCCATACAAAGTTTGGGAATATATCAGGGTTTGTACTATATTGTCTTTTCTGTTGTCTTTTTAATGGCTACATTTTAACTGCTCTTAGTTTTATTGATTTAATTACATTCTAAACTGTTGTAAAAGGTGAATTTTGCTGTTTGGTTTAGTTTTGGTGAGTCCCCCAGAATTCTAAATACGGAGAAAAGTGGCCAACAAATAATAGTTATAGATATATGTAGCTGCATTTTCCCATAGTAATAGTGGGAAAGGCAGTTAAGAACAAGGAAACATGCTGGAAGAATCAGTATTTCAGAATTTTAAAAGTAAGCAATGGCCTGTGTGCAAAGATTCCTCCCACCTTCACTTCCAGTGCCTCAGCCTGAGATTTATCACCTTCCTCAAGAGTCTGAGAAAAAGGTCAAAACTCTCAAACTCTGAGTTACGCCCTGGAGTGTGCCAGTTTTACCACAGACCAGTGGAGTTGGTGATTTCCCAACTTTGTGGGATTCGTGGGGTTTGAATCCATTCTGGGTTTTATGTTGAACTTTAAAGAGACAATTCTCTGTGCACAAAATGTTAGTGCCTTGGATAACTTGTTTCTTTTAAAGGATGAAACCCCTGCCCTAAGATTTGATTGACTGTCCCCTGACTATGGAAGCCACAACTACAAAGTGCACTTACTCTGAGGTTTAAAAACACTTCTCACATTCTTAGCCAGGACCAATAGGGTTAATTCAAAAGGAAAATAATCTCTAAATCAACTGTAATCCAGGTATACATATTTTAAGGGTAATGTTGATTCCAGCGGAAAGCTTATGCAGCAGCTTCCTTCTCCACTTTTCAGTTTAGATGGTGATCCCTACAAGCCCTTTCCTCTCCAACAGTCTTGTTTGCTAATTTGGATTGACTTGCACAACAAACGTAAGATGTGTTGAACTTCTTCCAACAGCTATGACTCATGTTGCCTAAGAAAGCTCTTCTTCAGACTATATGACATTGTGGGGCGATTTATTGTACCCAGCCCAGTAAGAATGTGTGTGTGACATACACACCTAGTTATCCTTGTTGTGGTAAAAATTATTCGCCAACCACTCATATTTCCTTTTGTCTTTCTGACAGCACAATTCATCTTTAAAAGAAGACGACCAATAATATTTGATTTGTACAGAGATACTAAAGAGGGAGTTATACATAGTCACCTTTAAGGTGAGTAGGCAAAGATTTCTTATAGTGATCTTTTTATCTCACAGACAAGGCTGTGGTTTCCTTATTAAATATGGAGCATGTGTGCATTGAGGCACCTTGAATGGATCCAGGCAGCTAGTTTCCTCCAGAAATGTGCAGTTACCATATTGAAAATCAAAGGGCAATAGGAAATTTGATGAGAGTCCAGTAGATCATAGTCTTCATTGCCAAGAATGTCCACCAGAAGTCATGGAAACTATTAACTCTTAGACCACTGAGAGGAGAGATTTGTACAATGCATTCCTCAAGGGGAGTGGCTCCAATGAAGCTCTTGGGAACTCTAATTCATTCACTTACAAGAAACTAGCACTTCTTTTAAAAATTTAACTAAGACAAAAATGGAGGGGGAGCTAATTGTGGCCCAATTGTGTTTAAATATATTGTCTTGGGAGGGGGGTCAATTACGCAAAACAACTGTCCCCATTAGTTCAAGAGGTGATGAGGCATGCACTAACAATGTCCCTTCCAGACACCCAAAATGGCATCTATGATTGCATTTTGCAGCCACCTGGAGATTTTGAGGACTCATCAATCAGCTGGTGCCACCATATGATTCCCAGAATATTTGCAGCCTGTCTGTAAGACAACTTGATTCACATAGGACCTCATTGGATTAGGGAATTTAGCATCCTAGGATGATTTCACCCTGTTTAATGGATGGAGCCCCACGCCAGCCATCATACAATGTTGTGTGACTTCCAGCAGGGGCCCCACTCCTCAGCCCACCTGGGGTGAAAGAAGTATCCCTACATCATGAGATGGGTATGGCAGGAACCGTACCAGCTCCATGTTGAAAACGTCCTATTGGACAAAAGCCCCATGTGATAAGGTAGTTAGCCAAAATGAAAAGGAGCTTTCTAAATTTTGATTACAGGCTACAACTTGCCAGTATTCCAAAGCTATCAGTCCAGTTCTAACTGCCAGTGACTGACCCACTCCCACTATTAACTTCAGTGTCATTCGTATTAACTTCCCTATCTTATTTCTATTGGCAGTTTAATTTTAATCTGGCTTAATTTTATTTCCTGACTATGGACTAGCTTGGTTGTCTGGAAAGGAGGCTAAATTAGGCTCTGTGGGAGATACTATAGGGTATGTTAGGACAGTTTTGAGATTAGACTTTATGATGTCAGTTTTAGAAAAACCTAGAAGGTAACAGTTACAATTCTGAGTACATTTACATTACATGCTTGAAAATTGTTTAATTAAGGTTATCAAGCAAAAAAATGGACACATTTACAAACGGATTGCTTCAAGCCACCTATTGCTTAACTATCAACTGCAATAAGTTGTGATAATTACTAGAAATATTCCTACCTCCATTGTATTTAAATATCAAGAAATTATTATTTAGCAATAGTTTACAATATCAACAATCAATCTGTTGACTCAGCAATACTCACAGCTTAGATGAATGGCCCATTCTTCATGCTTGCTCACCCACTACTCTAGCATGTTCCATAACTATGAGATAGGGCAGAATCAGGGAAAATTTTCAAGAAATTGAGTTATGTTTGGAAAAGGGGACAATGAATGGAGGGTCTTGACAAAAAGGAAAAGAGAAAGATAATCATTTGGCTATTCCAGAGAAGAGAGTATTGATAGCTGTATATGTCAGGATTGTTTTGATTGTGTATTCCTATGAGAAAGAGGCTTGGACTGGTTGACCTCTAGGGATCTCTTTCAACTCAATGAACAGGGGAAAAAAAACCCCACTGCCACTCCATATTATGCAGTAGTTCCTTCCTCACAGGGGCCACTGTGACTGTCAATCTCCTTTCTCTCTCCTACCTCCCTTTACAAGCCCCATTGCTACAGACCGATGATACAAGCCATAATCTTGATCATCCCTAGCAATAAGGCATTCTCTATATGATGCTTCATTTTGTCCCATAAATTGAAATGATTAGACTTACAAAATCTGCTCCCCACCATTTTCAAAGGTAAAGAGACATTGTAAGAAAACCCTAGAAAAAAAGATAACTTATCTGGAGAAAATTTGATGTAATGTGTTTAAGTGCTGGAAGCTTTAAAATGAAGCTTGTCCAAGTTGTGAACATTACACATTAGATATCCCATTGGCCCTTTGCTTGACAACAAGTAGTATTTAATACATTTACATTCAGGGTGCAGAGGCCTAGTATAAATGCATCTGCTAATCTTTAAAAGATACAAACACTGTACAGTCAACTCTCCACAATCGACTTTGCAGATCTGATTTGCAAATTTGATAAAATGTTCTCTGCAGGAATGCCTAGCTGGAAGTTGAAATCTATCTAGGAATCTCTACGTTTTCCAGTGTGATTCTATGGCCAATTTCCAGCAGAAGTTAGCCACAGCATCTTGCTGATGGATCTAGAGGTTTCTAAAGAGCTGTTTTATCAAGTAAACAATACTGTTTTTTTTAATTTGCAGTTTTTCCACTTTCACAGGGGTCCTACAGCCCTAAACCCAGTGAATATGAAGGGATGACAACCCTAAAAATCCTGTACATGTTTACTTGCACTAAACGTCACTGAACTCAATGGAAATTATTTCTTCCCACAAATGAATATACATAAGTAAATACCTATATTCGTTTAATCATAATTCAACTTCCCTAATTAAATATTTGAAACCTCATTTAATCTTTAATAGATTCCCAGCCCAGTCAGCACCAAATGTTTTTTAAAAACAACACAGTTTTAAAAACAGCAGATTTACACTTTGGTCAGGATAGATAGAGTACAAAACAATTTATCAACACAAAAAAAATCTTACCAACGTAATCCCCAAGCTTTCAAGATCTGTTTTCTCAGGCAATGCACCAGGGACTGCTCAAGATCTAACTCACAGCTCAATTAGTCCTTCGTTGAAAGAGAAAAACAGGAGGATATACAATTCAGAGGTAACTCCTCACATGTACCATCAGAAACAAGAGTTACTGGTCTGCTGAGCTCTACTCCTCCCTTTGCTACAAAACATCCTATCTGATCTATATGTTACTCATTCGCTTTCTTTCCTATTGCAAAAACTATATATGTACAAGCACATGCTAATTTTATTTAAACATAGGGAGGTTTCATAATAATGTGCTGGTATGCTCATGAAAGAACCCTTTCCTGCGATTGGTTTGAGCAATCTTGCACAACACAGCATAACTTCCCCTAAAGTTGAACTGGGAAGCTGAAAATACTTGTTTGAGAGATTTTTTAAAACTACTTCATTTGAAGAAGAGTTTTTGGGAATAGGAGGAAAGCTAATCGTTCTTCTGGTGTCTGGAAAAATCAGATGCTGAGAAGACATTTACCATCTGTTTCAGATCCACACACACACACACACACACACACATATATTCATTCAAATTTTTTGTTTGGTTGAACATTCAAAAAATAAATTTCAGTATATCTGATAAATAAGATTTTACTGTATCATCCTCTCCTTGAAGCGAGGGCAGAGAGAGTTTGCTGTTTCAATTTTGACAGGGAAAAATCTTCCCTTACCTGACCCAAAGAATCAGGAAAATCTGGTGTTACAAATGAGAAATGCATTCAAGATTAGCTCACATTTCCCTCCCCAGGCTCATCGGATGTGAGTAAATATTACTTCTAAGCCTTTGCCACTCACAGCCTGCCACTTTTGCAACTTCAAAGCACTGAGCAGTAATATAGCTAATTATCTATGTGTGTTATCAAACACACCCTTTGCCAGAAAACATCCTTTAGCAGAATAGACAAGATTATAGATAACAGGTATCTGTATTTCAAGGCATCTTCAAGGCATCAAGGCCATCCTGGGAGATTTTGTTGCCTGGGCCAGAAATGGAAAGGATGCTTTGCCCATATCCACTCAAGTCAGTCACATAGTACCAGCCAGGCATGTTATTTTAAAATCTCACATAACACCCCAAATCTCAGCTGATTCCCAATGATAAGACTGGTCTCTGTTCCTCATTTTTAGGAGTTTTCCTTCACACCATTTTATAATAAATTGGAGTTTTGCTTTCTGTTCCCAGCTATATTCCCATACAGTGTCCATCACTTAGTTGGGAAAACCTATGGAGTAGAGTTGCAGAAGGAACTGACAGCCACAAGGACGACAAATAGAGAAATGGAAGTCCACTGTGGTCCTGTGTTCTCCTGACCCAAGGATATGTGGTCATTATATGTGGCTGGAGAAGAGAGCTATTGGCCATCTGGAGGGACAGTGGAGGGGCAACCTATCATGCATCAATCTAGTGTGAAGTGGTCTATTGGCAATAAAACCAGTGACAGAATGATCCTATATCTAGTGGTGATCTGAAAGTCCCAGTCTTCCAATATAGAATCATAGAATGTTAGAGTTGGAGGAGAACACATGGGCCATCTAGTCCAACCCCCTACTATGCAGGAAAAGCACAAACAATTGTCCCACCACAATTACAGCCACGTTTGATGAGAACGCAGAAGTGGGCCTTCCCAGGCCCCTTCCACAATGCCCCTACATCCCATGTTCTGATTAGGTTTCAAATGCTTTTTCATTAAAATATTTTTAGTTGAAAAGTTTATTTAAAAGTTATTATTTCAAACAGTTTTTTAAAAAAATGTTACCATTTATCTGGAATTCTAGAATCTTAAATATTCCAAAATCCAAAGTTACCCACATGGGTGGATGAGATAATGACACTTTTGCTTTCTAATGGTTTAATGTACACAAACTTTGTTTCTTGCACAAAATTATTTAAAATGTGGTGTATAAAAATTCCTTCAGGCTATGTCTCTAAGGTAATTAAGAAGCATAAATGAATTTCATGTTTAGGCTTGGATCCTATTGCCAAGATATGTATATGCAAAATACAAAAATGCAAATTTGAAAATACTTCTGCTCCCAAACATTTTAGATAAGAGATAACCAACTTGTATAATGTTTATAGTTTTTTATTGTTATAACTGGTTTGTAGCTTTTCTTTCCATGTATGTGATGAGCTACCTTAAATCCCATATTGGAGAAAGCAGGTTATGAATTAAATAAAGTATCAGCTAGAGCAGGTCCATTGAACTAATGGGATCTGTATAAATGTTAGCTTGTCCTTCATATTTAAGAACATATATCTAATAATATATTTAATGTTCTAAACAGTTATTTTAAAATTAGTACATATTTCATACTTCAGAATATATAATATATTTAAGGAATTCTTAATATGTTCATGCTAAATGGGGAGAAATATGGACAAGATTATGATAGGATAAAAAAAGAAGTACAAAAAATACTTTATACTTACATGGAGACTTACAACAGGAAACATCATGAACACAGATGGTAGTGAAGTAGCCAAACAGGAAAAGAAGGTTCTGATTTTTAAAAGGCAAAAATAGAATAGCTAAAGAGAACAATAAAGTAGTTATTCAAGGTCAACTGGTATGGTTCAGAGGCAAAACAAACAAACCCTTACAGTTATATAAAGCCTTCATTCAGCAAATAAAATCTTGAAATGGAGTTAAAACTGAAATACAGAAATTAAAAAACGTAGGTACCAATCTTAATAATGAGTCTTCATGGCCTCCTTTACAAGCCACATTTTATTTCCTTGATTAATTAATTGGAAGTGATTTCATCTGTTAAAGGAGACTCATCCTTCAGAGCACAGGTGAATGGTTTACTCCCTACACTTTGAAATATTCTAGCTGAGTTCATAGGCATATTTATTAGGTGCCTACACTGCTAATTTTTAGGAAACCAAATAAAAAGCAGTGGGTGTTGTTATTTTAGTATTATTCTGTTTAGTGATAATAATTATGATTAGCCTCTCTGTGGCCTAGATTTATTAGAAATGTGTAAGATGAACATTTTAAATGAAAAGCAAACAAATATAAAGAACTAGAAAAAGATAATTATAACAGGAATTTTTCAAAAATTTGAACATTGCCCTATATACATCCCCAAATTTATTGTATCATCCCCAAATTTAAGAACTTGAGACAATAGCTGAAACAACACTTTTAAAATTCAATTCAGAATGATTATGTACAAAGTTTGTGTTATATATCCACCCCACACTTAAGAGATCTTGAAAACTGATGGCTTTACATCTCTTAAATAGATTAGGAATGTTTATAATAAAGTGCAGGTTATTACCTATAAAGCCCTATATATTTCAGGTCCAGCTTATTGTCGAGACTGCATCTCCTTCTATGAACCAGTATGGGCTCTAAGATCTGCTAGGGAGCCCTTCTCTGGGTCCCACCCTCAGAAATATCTGAAAACATGTATTTTTACACAAGCTTTTGACCATCTTTAGGGATTATGATCACTATATTCAAGGACTTAGTGAGTGGTCACTGTTGCACTTTATAAGGACAGATATTGTACATAGCCACTATTTTATAGCTTGTCGACTTTTTATTGCTCTTTTATGTGTAATGGGGCTAATCTTATTGTTATTGTTGTAATTGTTGTATTTATATTGTGTTGCACTATTTAGTGCGTTCTGTGAGCAACCCTGAGTCCCTCCAGGGATATGGTGGTGGGATACAAATAAAGATTATTATTATTATTATTATTATTATTATTATTATTATTATTATTACATTGAAATATATAAGCTCTGTGTAATGTTACCGGTACAAGAATGAGAGTCATAGTGATACATAACAAACTTTGTTCATACATTATTAACTTACTAACAGACTATCTTGATTTTTTAAGGTAATAATTAGATTTAGATAAAGATTTAAAATCTGACAAGAATGACCAAGATGAACTTTTACAGAGGAAAGCTGGAAAAGAAGAAAGAACAATGTGAGATGATGCAAGAAGATATAAGAAGACATAGCTATCAGATCTTAAATTAATTGATAATGTCACTCCTCTCTTTGCAACAGAAGATATAATGCACTTTTAATACTTTAATACAAATAAGTATAATGGAAATAAAAAATTAGATGTAATAAAATCATAACTATGTACATTACCTTTTCTCTTGTCTCCTCACCCCCCTCTCCCTGTAAAATATTCAATATTGGAATAGACTTAATTTACTAATAATAACTCCAAAACCCTTATCTTCCTCTTTTCTTTCTTACCAAAATTTTACACCTTTCTTCCTTGTGAGATATATATATATATATATATATATATCTCACAAGGAAGAAGAAAGGTGTAATATATATATATATATATATATATATATATATATATATATATATATATGCAAACAAATATCCAGTTTCTACTCACCTGTACTTATGAGATGGCTTATAACAGTTTGGTTCAGTTACACAGGAGTTTCTAATAATTCCATTGCAGCCCCTCATTTTGTGATATGCAAAACCTATTGTGTAATGATCCCTGGAATGCACCTAGGATGGAAATTACATGATAAGGTGTAGCTTCATAAGTTTTTCTTTTCACTGCAACAGTACATCTCAGTTTGTAGGTGATATTTAGGTGAGTAATAGTCTCATCTCAACAAAAGATGTTCACAATTTGGAAACCACAGCATTATGTAGAAACCTCAAAATTAACCAGGACAGCTCTGACATAACCAAGAGATGGCATACCTTTTGCAACACAGTGGCATGAATCCTTTTGATTAGCCTTGATTAAAGTAGATGCATTGAACCAATTATTGAATGGTGAGACAACATCATGTCAAAAGGTTGACAGTTCAAGCCTGGGTTGGAGTGAGCTCCCAACCGTCAGCCCAGCTTCTGCTCACCTGGCAGATCGAAAACAATAATGTGAGTAGATAAATAGGTACCACTTTGGTGGGGATGTAATAAAAATACACCAATGCAAACATGCTGGCAATTTGATCGGGAGAGCATCTTTAAAGACAACAAAGCTCCTTGGCATGAAAGATGGAGCGACAGAACACACACCCCTGGTGGCTGGAGTCAAGCACAGCCTCCAGATGCCTGAGATGGAAAAAGATGGGAAACCTTTATCTATGTTTATGTACTGCTTGTCTTTGTTAATTGTATAATTAAATTGAATATTTGCCAGATATTTGTACTGTAATCTGCCCTAATCTGCCCTCGGGGAGATAGAGCAGAATATAAATAAAGTATATTATTATTACATCTCAGATTCAGTTTAGGAGAGCCAAAATTCTTGCTATCATTGATCCTACCTCCACTTTCCGACCTGCTACTCAGTTGCAAGTATGTACCATTGTGGAACATGGTGATCTAGTTGCTGTTGAATTTGAATTCCCATAACTCCTAATGTAATCCCAACAACCTGGGATCAGACCTCAGTCTTCTCACCCCAGGTACGACAATGCTGCTGATTCTTCAGGGTGAAATGAAATTCTAGTCCCTTATAAGTGAACTAAAAAAATGGCACCAGAGATATAATACAAATTACATTTGTAGACCGCCCTAGGGCTGAGAAGGGCGGTCTACAAATGTAGTAAATAAATAAATAAATTACAATGGGGGAAACGGACAAGTTACTACACTCCAGAAGAGAAGTGTAATTCACCATATTTTAGCACATTATTTAGCTGAAGACTAATAGTATGCACTTATGAAATAAAAATAATCAAATAAAGTAAATCTAAAGTAAACACAAATATCTTGAGCTTTCTAGAGACCTTTCATAACACCGCATAACCTTTTCTTTCACAAGCTTCCACTTTTTCCCCGTGACTTCTATTTTTACTTGTTGAAAGTTGCCTAACATGTCAACTATGGAAGCAAGGTTTGGAAAAGGGGGATATATTGTTCAAACCTATGCATGTTTACTCAGGAGTGGGGTCTGCTCTATTCAGTGGGCTTACTCTGAGGTAAGTAAGTATAAATTTGCAGTTTGTATGTGTATGGTTGTACTACAGCAGTTTGTACTTTAGCTATTTCAAGAGATTTGTGAAAAGTAGTGTGCAAATACCTTCCATTTCCTTATTCCATTCAAAGAACCATGAAGAATTATCACCACCTTGTGGTCGACTTTTGCATGTCATCTCGCTCATTTATGAGCAGTCACAAATGGACAATGCAACATTCCTTTTAAATCATATCAAACTCTTTCTCTTCACGGTTCTAGCTTTAAAACAGCAACAAAAACAGCATAGCAGCAATAGTTTTCAAAAATAAATGTGAAGTTGGAGGTAAGTGAATGAATCTCAGCATTTTAAATCCCAACCAAACAGCTTAAACAGCAGCTGTAGGAAGGTGCAATCCAAATGGGAACTGCTGCAGAATTGCCCAATTAAGCCTTGAAGGTGAGGTTTGTCCCTGATGAGAAATAAATGGGAAATGTGTGGTTATCTGTTTGAGGTCGTTATCACACCCTTTATTAACAGCTTATATCATCCTGGAGTAGTAGGTTCTGGGGAACAAAAAACTCTCTGAATAGCCAAGGTTTATCTATCCTTATATGCACATGGTTGTTTGTATGTTTGTTTGTTTTGCACAACTTTGGGTAGTTTCTGTGACTTTTCTCCAGAGAATGTCCTCATAATTTTCTCCCTCAAACAATTGAAATACATGAACACATATCTGTTGTTGCCTGAAGCTTGATCCTCAGAACACAATGCATTGAGATGGAATGCTGTATGTCCTTTGTCATATAGCACCGACCTCAAACTCACCTTTCTTAACTTTGGTTCCTGAGGATGTGGAGACCAATTTCTTTGCATTGATAAAAGAAGCAGCTTCAATAAATTATTTCTGTAATATTTTAACTGTTATGTGTACATTTACAAACCCACAGTTTTCATGGTTATGATATTAATATTATAAATACAGTTGCTATCATAATTTGGGCTCAAGGAATGAATCAAATTACTTTTTCTTTTATAGGACCTCATCACATTGCAGAATGAATCCACTTTAAATCCAGTTTCTGCCTCCTGCAGAATTCTAAGGTTTGCAGTTTAGGGAGGGGTCTTGAACAGCCTCAGAATTCTGCAGGAGGCAGAAAATGGATTTAAAGTGGATTCATTTTCCAATGTGGCAAGGTCCTTATAGTCCATTGCATCTGGGACTTACTGTGTACATAATTCTAATCATTACGTTTGATCTTGTGCAGATCTTGCTGACTCTCTATCTGGAGGATTGGCACCAGCAGTTGTTAATAATTAGTAGAAAATTACATGCAAATGAACCTACACATTTTATTTCACTTACTGCAACCATATTCCACCTTGAGTCATCCATACCTTTAGTAAAGTTATTTTTCTTAGGAAATTCTGCATGTTATTAAATTGCTCCTGACTGTCTGACTTTGAAATTTCTAGAGGAAGTATAAATTTTATTACTTGGCACATATGCCAGGCATTGTCTTTCTGGCTTTTTCTTTTCATTACTTCCTTTTCTTCATACACCTTGTCC